GGGATTGAATTCAGGTCCTCTGGAACGTCAGTCAGCGCTCTTAGTCGCTGAGCCATCTCTCTCCTCACAAGCAGGAGCAGGGAGCAGGGCTTGTGACCCTTCTTTTATTCAGTGCACATTTTTGATTTCTTTATTAAAACAACAGATATCTGTGGATGTATTGAATTACGCCTGGTATTTATTTCTATTCCATTGATCAATGTGTCTGTTTTTATGCCAATTCCATGCTTTTTTATTATTATAGTTCTATAATACAACTTAAAATCTGGGATGGTGATACCTCTAACAGTTATTTTATTATTCCAGATTGTTTTAGCTACCCTGGTGTGTGTGTGTGTGTGTGTGTGTGTGTGTGTGTGTGTGTGTGTGTGTGTGTGTGTTTCTATATGAAGATTGTTTTTCGATTTCTATGAAGAATTGTGTTAGATTTTTGATGGGAATTGCATTGAATCTCTAGATTGCTTTTGGTAAAATGGCCATTTTTCACAATATGAATCTTCTTGATCTTTTTCATTTGTCTTTTTTTTCTAATTAAGACTTATATACTACATTGAATTGCAAACCCTGGAAGATTTTATTGAACTGAGTAGCCAAGAAAACAAAATAGGTGTCAGGTGGCTACTAATAAGTGGTATATTTGGTCAGTTTCCAAGTATTCAGTTGCCATCATACCAGGATCCCTATTTCCATCACACTTTAATACACTTATAATATAATATGTAACGTAACTTTACTAAAAAGAAAGTTTTTTTCAAAATTCATAATTCTATGTTAAGGAATGAGCTGATCCAAGGTTTCCCCCAAGGCCCCATGTATGGAGAAGGAACACAAATCCTCCTCTAAAACTAGGAATATGCTTGGCAGAACCAGTAATAGCCTGAGGTCAGGGCCTTGAGTGAGCCACAACTTTGGATACTGAGAAAAAGCTCTTTCCACCATGCTGAGCTAAGGTTGCTAATCCCAAGGCCACTATGTGCTCCATCTATATTATTCTTGAGATACTCTGTGTTCCCTTGTGCAACATTTCTTGATTTTCTTCCTTCTGACTTCATCTCATTGTATGATAGTTTCTGCTGGCACTGTCCCATTTCTGCCCTGGAAATAGTGTATAAGATGCCGCATTTTTTAATAAGCTGCTTTGTCATAACACATAGCTTGTGCAAGACCTCTTAATTCTAAACTTTCCTATCCCCTTATCCCCTGATCTCATGGTCTTCTCTCTCAGGACCCTATCACTGAAGAATGGCCTGCTAGTTCTGGTCAATTCTATGTTTAACAAGTAATTCACTGGTCCTATTATCACATGAATAACTGAACTTTAAAAGATTGCTAAAAGAATCCTCAATAGGTAAATTCACTGTATTAAAATGATTTAAGATGTGAGTTTAATCCACTCATATATGTAACTCTTCCATTACAGAGTAGAAACTCTCACTCTCAAAAACAAAAAAATCCAAGGAGCGTGACATCTGGGCACCTGAAGAGACATTTCTTTAGCGTACTCTCCTAAGGACTGTTTAAGCAGACTCATAAAGACCTGTGGGAAGGTGAGTCATTGTGTTCTGAGAATGACTGGCAGTAGGCTGACAGGTTCGGCTGTGGCCTCTGTCTCAGCCCCTGTGACACTGGAGCATGCCAGGCAGCTCCAGCATTTGCTTTGGATCTCCTCTTAAGGATTTGCTTCAGATCGTGCCTTACTTGAACATTCTGCCCTCAGATGTTCTAATAGCTTCGGTTCTCTTGGGTCTGTCCAAACACCACCTCCTGGAAAAGTATTTACAAATACCATTATCTCTTTGGTGTTCCTAATGGCTTACATTGCTATTCTTTTTTTTTTCATAGCATAAATATAAAGTTCTCATGCCCATCATTTTTTTTATTATTTGTAATAGATTTCTTCCTTCTTCTCTAGTATGTGTAGTGCAAACGATTCATTGTATTTGTTGTTTTTCAATGATACATTCAAGTGCCAAGAATACTAACTGATGTCCTATAGACACTCAAAACTTCTTTGAGAGAATAAATTTGGAGAGCTTGCTTTTTATAGTGCTAGAGAGCCCTGGAAAATTTTCATTGTCTCCCACAACCCACTATAACTGCAAGAAGCATCACTAACGCGGAGTACACACCCCAGGAGGGAGGTTCCAGGACGTGTCAGTACCTGAAGCTCTGTAACTCACTCTTTCATAAGCCTCACATTTGGCTTGACAATTGCCTGATCCTGCTTGGTCTTGGGATATTCCATGTGTCACCATTTGGTGTTGCAATCTCCCACAGCACTGAGTCTGAGATCTTGAGGTTTGAGAGCAATTAGATTGAATATGACAGTAGATGGACATTGGAAAGAATTGGAATTTTCTTTAACGCAGTCAAAAAACAACATGGAAATTATGTAACATATTCTATAGTTCTACACTATATTATTTTGAAGTTTTCATGGAGAAAGTTAAACAGATGGGACTAAAATGAATAGAGAACATGCAGTTTCTATCTGAGAAAGAATCTCTCCACATTGATTTCAAAGAAGAATCAACTAAATATAGTTGTGTTCCCCAAATAGGTTTTCTCTTATTACCAAACATTGTTTGCTTACATTGAACTCCATGGTAAACAATAGAATTATTTCAGGATTTTAGTATGCTTTCCTTAATTTTTATATAGATTCAACTCTTTTTGTTTATTTTGGGTTTTCTTGCATAAGAAATGATATAATTTACTTGAATAATGGTGTAGAAAGAGAGACTTTCTAGTGAATCATGATTTCTGGTAAGAAAAGAAGTGAAGTGAAGTAGCCTATGATGTAATGGTGGACATTGTGTGAGCTGAAACTGTCTTCACAGGTTAGATAAGTGTTGTCCTAGCTTAGGAGAGAAACTCCTCCTGAAGAAGAAACCCTCTGTTCACACAGCCCTTTCATCATGTAAGGCACGGCTGAGTTTGAGAAAAGATTGCTCTGCTTGCCAGGCTCCACTGAACTCTATGCATGTCTGATGCATGCCCTTCCTAGACTGTGTGACGATGCTCTTCAAATGTCTACCACCATGAAAGCCCACCTCGCCACTCCTCACCCATGTTCTGAACTCTCCCCAGTTTCTGTCTCCCCTGTAACCATCTGCCCAAGTCTTCACCACACTAGATAGAAAAAGTGGCTGGAATAAAAGAACCAAGTCACTTTGTACCTGAAGTCCTATGGCCTTCTCACTTCACCCAGCTCAAAGTGCCCCTTCTCTAACAGAGATTCCTAGCCTGTGCCTTTTATTTTTGTATTTCTCCTTGGAAAAGGACTCTCAAGATTAAAAAAGAAAAAGAGAAAAAGAAAATCATTTTAGAGTTTCTGTCTGTTTGCTTGTTTGTATATTTTCTTAATCTCCTTTTGGGGCTTAAGTCCACTAAGTAATGGATAAGTAAAATTATGGCCTAAGTTGTCCTGAATAAAAGAAAGTGCTGGCATTATACCCATCGCCTCTCAGGAGAACTAGAAACACCTACTGGCTATCTGTCACCCACTATATATCCTAATCATCCCAATAAACTCATCTAAATTGAAGCTCTGCTTATGACACCCATAAGATGGGATTTCTGATGCCTGATTTCCCACAATTCCCTTTTTGCTCCTTCAATCCATAGCATCCTCCCTGCAAACATCACACTTGAAGACCACGCAGGTGGAAGCGGGGTGGAGGGAGTATTCTTCAGGGTTATGCTCAGATGGCATTATTGTCAGCATGTGAAAAAAAAATCACATTACTAGTGTCATCACTTAAGCTGAACCAATAAGTGGATGAAGCACCCAGGATGAATCATGTCTGTCAGGTAAGCTATGAAGATTCATCGGCCCCAAAGGCTCCCATTCCCTTGAGGCAGGGCTTGTTCCCTCTATAAAAGGCCAGTGTGAAGAGGATGCCACATCAGATCCCATCGACTACACTGACTGTTCTCTGCATACCAGGTAAGCTTCTCTATGTGGATACTTTACCATTTACTTTATGCATTTATGTGACTTTTTACTGGAGCCTCATTTGCACTTAGGGCATCTTTTTTGTCCTCTTATTGAAATGTAGTCGTAGTTATAATGCAGATGTATCATCTGAATTACAAACCCTTGAAACTTGCATTTACAATAATCCCAATTGAAGGAACTTCAGTTGTAATTGGTGTGCCCCATCGGCCCTTGCTGTATCTGGGTCTGGGTAAGAGCACAAGCCCATCTCACTCCTAGTGACATCATTTCTTTATCTACAGTTTTAATGCTGAGGATTTTATTCTTTAAATAATAATATTTGTTAAGAGTTTGCTTTATCTGGTGTTTTGGACTGTAAAAGATAATTTAACAAAGGAGAATTTTCTCCGTAAAACTGCATCTCATTTAGAAGACCAAGAACTAAAGATAGTACTATGAAGAGTTGGTGCCAGGAGACAAGGGCAAGTGCTATGGCAGTTTGGGAAGGCGAGAAAGGTTCCTGAAGTCCTCACTCTAAGAAAGCTGCCTAACTGTGGTATAGCAGGTGATCTGTGACAGTTGGGCAAATCTGCGCAAGCAGACCTGAGAGGGGCCCCTGAGATGGAGGAACGTGCAAGCCGCATGCGACGGCGAGGCATCCTGGAGTAGCCACAGGCATTCTGCAGGTGACAAAACATCTTATTTGGTGCAGATGAGCAGTGGGCTGTGAGCATTTTATTGTTTTTATTTTCTGCGTGCCATCACATTTCCACATGAGCCAACGTCATCACGTCATCAGTCTCCTGTTCCTGATAAAGCCCTTTGCTGTGTTGCTGTAATAGGTAGGAAGAGGGAACGGCCGGAAAGATCCTGCTTGTTTAGAACCAGGTGACCTTTAAGGACCTCCATGGCAAAGTACCCTCTGTGGTAGAGAGAGAGAGATAGAAAGGAGAACCTCTACTTCTTTGGACATCAGAAGTGGCATTGCTGGCGGTTTCTTGTGAAGTCATTCCCTCCATAAATCATCCATTCTATTTCTAGGCCCAGCCGTCTTTGAAGCATGAGTTCCCACCAGCAGAAGCAGCCCTGCACAGGACCTCCTCAGCTGCATGAGCAGCAAGTGAAAGAGCCTTGCCAACCACCACCGCAGGAGCCATGTGTCTCCCAAATCAAGGAGCCCTGTGACATCAAGGTTCCTGAGCCCAGTCACCCCAAAGCTCCTGAGCCCTGCCATCCCAAGCTTCCTGAGCCTTGCCACCCCAAGGCTCCTGAGCCCTGCCACCCCAAGGCTCCTGAGCCCTGCCACCCCAAGGCTCCTGAGCCCTGCCACCCCAAGGCTCCTGAGCCCTGCCACCCCAAGGCTCCTGAACCCTGTCCTTCCACTGTCACTCCAGTACTAGCCCAGCAGAAGACAAAGCAAAAGTAATGTAGTCCAAAACTGTGCCTTGAGGAGCTGATCACCAGATGAATGCTGAGCCCCAGTTTCCATTTCTGGGGAAATACTATGCCCTCACAGCACAGTCCTGCCTCTCATTTATACCTTAAAATGAAGTACTACGAAGCTTTTTTACCTATAAATGTGGGGCCTCTGAGTCTCTGAATTCAACTGAAGACTTGGTTCCTGAGCTAGTTTGTCTACTCAATGTTCTTCTGAAGAGGGACTAAGTTACAAGTGATTCAGTCCTGTTACGTCCTCATTAAATCCTTCCAATCCTGACTACATTGGTGTCTGACTCAGTGACTTCTCTCTTTTCTTCATGAAGCAAAAGCTATTCACAGACATATGAGGGCAGTGACTTCCTCCAGTTAACACCTACCCTGGCACTAACATCCAATCCCGGCACTGGCGGGTGGGAGGCTCTTCCCACTGAGGATACCTGGGGTGCCAGAGGAAGGTTATGTAATGCCATCAGAGGTTTTTGCACTGGACACCTGGGACAAGTAGAGGACTCTCCTCTTATAAGTCAGTGAGTCACTCTAGAGTTTAATTAGTACCTGCCCAAGCTGAATCTGACATATGTAATCCTGAGTGCTCTGTCCCCAAATTAGGCTTCTTGGTTTCTATCATACTCAACTGTTTCTGTTCACTTCAAGAAATCCTCCAACAGAAGTGAATCTGCCTCTTCTTACTCATTCCTTCTATATACCCATAATTCAAATCCCCCCCAACAAACTCTCTAAGACTCATAGCCACCACAATTGTTATCTCAGTCTTCGGTTTTTGTCAGGGAGCCACCTAAAGGGATGTGCTTCACGTTCCACATCACCATCAAAAGCACATACACATACTCACATACACATATACACATACACACACACACGCACACACACACACACACACACATACTCATATTCACAAACACATACATACACACACATGCTCACATTCACAAACACACACACACACACACACACACACACACACACACACACACACACACACACACTACAGTCCTCATAGAGTAACAAACAAAACCTGGTTCACCAGATACTCAGGTTGGAGCTTTATCTGATGAAAAAAAAAACAAAACAAAACGTATATCTTGTAGCTGGAGAGCTTCTCTCCAGGTCCCACCAAACCCCCGCAGTCCCACAACCCACATATAAAATAATCACTCAGATGCTTATATTACTTAAACTGCTCAGCCATTATCTCAGGCCTACCATTGTCTAGTCTTACTCTTATACTAAACCTATTTCTGTTAATCTATATGTTGCCACATGTTCGACGGCTTTACCTATTGCCTGTACTTGATGCTCCCTGAACAGCAGCTGGCAGGTCTCTCCTCTGCCTTCCACTTCGCCCAGTTCTCTTCTCTTTGACCCGCCTATACTTCCTGCCTGGCTACTGGCCAATCAGTGTTTTATTTATTACCCAACCAAGCAACACATGTAATGTACAGAACATCCCACAGCATATATCCCACCAGGAAACATGAGCCACTTCCAGGAAGCTAAGTGAAACTTGAGTTGCCGGTGTAACGAAACCAGCTACTCGTGTCACAGAAAAGTGTTCACAACACATCCATTGCTTCTGTCAGAGACTCTGACATCCATCTCAACTCTACCCTGAGTTTCAGAAGTCTTGGTGTCCTATTTCCTGGTCCTGAGACATCTGAACCTTGGTTCACTTCTGAGTGGACCTTTACAGGCAGAGGGAGGGTTTTTGCTGGTGTTGGCCCAAACAAGTGCACGGTGGAGGTGACACTTGGAACTAAGGAAGGGGTAGTTCATTGAGAGAGGCTTTCAAAACAGGCATGAATCTAAGCACTATGGGGTGGGATGGAAATAAGACACCAAAGTAAGCACATGTCAAGTACCCAGAAGGGATGCTGATGCTGTAGGTGGGCCTGTCTATGTCTCGGGAATTTAATGGAAAACTTCCATTGACAACATTCTCAGGAAAAGCTGCCCTGCACTTTGAGAAAGTGCAAGCCTGGTAAAGAGGTGGATCTTCATTTTTTCAATCCCCAAGGATGTTTTGTCTCTCAAACATAATTGCTAAAAGTCTTCCTTTCTTTTATAGCTTCTTATTATAAATTGACCCCAACACACACACACACACACACACACACACACACACACACACACACACACACACACCTTGTATTTTCTTTTCTCATGATACAACAGAAGATTCCACTCTTATTTGGGAGCAATATTTATTATTTAGTATTAGATGACTGCACAAAAGATCTCCAGAAAGGTATTCTCAACTTTATTATACTCTGATCAATTCCCTAAGAACACTTCCCTTACTCTGTCCTTTGCAGCACCTGTTTTTTTATTTGCAATAACTCGGCTTCCCTATCTGGGGTCACACTCTACAGAGAATCAAATGATTCAGGCCTGTCCTCAAGTCACTGGCAACCTTAGTAATGTTGTGCACATTGTTTCAAATGTGTTTTGAATATATTTCAAATATGGAGTCAGACGGTTCAGGTGAGCAATGGTGATAGGATGTGGCATTTTGTGGGTTGTTAGAAGAAGGTGGCATGCATAGAGAGGAGACAGACAATTTCACACGTTGGCCCCCTTCCCTCCTTTTATTCTGTACTCCCTATGTTTTAAGAACTATGAGGAGTATTTACATGGTACTTGACCAATTCCTCAAAACTTTATTTTCCTAAAATATTGTATAGAAAATTAAATTTGGTTAGAAAATAAAATGTACAGGATAATACATCTAAATCACATTTTCTGTACTAGTTAGATATAAGTCACATATAAATGACTTACACACATAAGTAATTGATGGGCAAGGGATGTTGATGACTGTTTATTAAGAGCTAATTCATTCTCAGGTATTATATCAACCTAATGAAAGTACTGAAAATTCTATGTCTAGAACAAGTTTATGAAGTAAATGTTAGTCTCCTGAACTGGGGGAAGAGGAATTGAATTTCTGAATACTTACATAATTTGTTCCTCAAAAGAACTAAATAATACTTGAAGACAACAATAAGAGTTTGAAGTATTTTAAAAATAGTATTTAGTGTGGCCCCAAATTCAGAGAAAATTGATCATTTGAGTCTTGCCTAGATATTCTTTGTAGTTTGACTGTGAAATGCCCTCCATAATCTCATGTGCTTGAATCCAGAGGTTAGAACTGTTTAGAAAGTTGTAAAACTTAAAGTATATGGAGCTTTGCTGGTAACTAGGGATGGGATTTGAGGTCTTACAACATGGCCCCACTTCTTGTCTGCTCTCCACTTCTTGATTGTGCATGCAATGTGACCATTCATGAGGCCAGGATACATTAACGCAGATACATTAGAAAGAATGCTTGAAGAAGTTAAAAAAAATGCCTTGTTGGGGATTACAAATTGCTCCTGAAAAGATACAAAGAGGAGAATCTATTTATTATTTAGGATATAAAATAGGTCTACAAAAAATTAAACCCCAAAAGGTGCAAATTAGGAGAGATTGATTACGGATTCTTAATGACTTTCAAAGATTATTTGGAGACATTTCCCATCTACAAACTATTGCTGGAGTAAAAAATTATGAACATAGTAATTTGTTCAAAACCTTAGAAGATGACAAGGACTTAAATAGTCCAAGAGAATCATCACTTGAAGATGAGAAATAATTGGCCTTGGTAGAAAAGAAAGTACAGGAAGGACATGTGGATCATGTGGATCCAAAGCTGGATTACATTTTGGTTATTTTACCCTCTAGGCATTCTACAGGAATTTTAAAGCAGAGGGAAGATATTATATTGGAATGGATATTTCTACCAAATAAACAGAGTAAAAAATTAATAAAAACTTATGTGGGAAAGATCTCTGACTTGATTTTAAAAGGAAAATTGAGACTTTGTCAATTAGAATGAATAGACCCAGCAGAAATTGTCATACCTTTAACTAAGGAGAACATTGAAAAATTATGGGCAGAAAGTGAACTTTGGCAAAGAGCTTGCAGTAATTTTGGGGGAGATATTAACAGCAAATATCCCAAAAGCAATAGAATTGAACTTATAAAGAAAGCTAATTGGATTTTGCCTCACATTGTACAGGAAACAGCCATATCTGGAGCCTATAAATTTTATACAGATGCAAACAAACAAGGAAAGGCAGGTTACAAATCAGAAAATTTAAGTAAAGTGGTTCAAAGTCCTTATAATTCAGTTCAAAAATTGGAATTGTGTGCTATTCTCTTGGTATTAATGGATTTTTCAGAACCTCTCAACATAGTTACTGACTTTTAGTATGCTGAAAGAGTAATATTACATATTGTGACTGCCGAATTTATCCCTGATGAGTCAGAATTAACTTCACTATATATTCAGTTACAAGATATTATCAGGAATAGGAATCATCCCTTATATAAAACTCATATCTGATCCCATACAGGTCTGCCAGGCCCTCTAGCACAAAGTAATGATGAGATTGATAAATTACTGATAGGAAATGTACTGGAGGCCTCAAAATTTCATTTAAAAAAATCATGTCAATAGTAAAGGTTTTTTTCTTCATTTTTTTTTATTAAGAAATTTTCTACTCACTCCACATGCTATCCACAGAACCCCCTCCTCCCTCTTCCCACCTCCCAACCCTCTTTCCCAAGCTACCCCACATCCCCACATCCGCCAAATAGAGGTCTCCCATGGGGAGTCAGCAGAGCCCAGCACAGTAAGTCTAGGCAGGTCCAAGCCCCTTCCCACTGCACCAAGGCGATATCATCATAGATGAGGACATCATGGGAATAGGAAGAGGCAGGGTGCTGGGGAGGCTCTCAGGAATCCACAAGGTTGACCCCACCTTGGTCTGCTGGCAGTGGTCCAGAGGGTGCCTGGACAAGTCTACTCTGGTGACCAGCCTAGCACATAGTAAAGGTTTAAAAAAGGATTTTTCTGATGGAAGCGGATGCAGAGATCCACAGTCAGGCCCCAGGTGGAGCTCCAGGAGTCCAACTGGTGAGAAA